GACAGTGACTGGATCATTATCTTAGGGTTAAAATTGCTATGATGAAACCCCATGACCAAAGCAACTTGGGGAGGAACAGGTTTATTCAGATTACAATTCCTATTGCCATTCATCATTGAAGGAAGTCAGGACAGGAATTCAAACAGATAAGAATGTGGAGGCAGGAGCTGATGTAGAGGCCTTGGAAGGGTGCTATGTAACGATAAATCTTTCTGCCAAGCTGCCTGAGTTCCGCCCACCACGTTAGGGCCCCAAATAACACACAAAGACTTATATTAGGTACAATGCTGTTGGCCAAAGACTAAGATTTCTTATCTGCTAGCTCAGTCTTAATTACCAACAATAATCATAAGACTTATCTTATGGAGGTAATGGCGGATTGTATCCTGTCTTCCAGGGATCACATGGCAGCTTCTTCTCCTACTACATTTCCCAGAATCCTCCTTGACTCCTAGTCCCACCTATCCTGCTTCCTCATTGGCCAACTGTGCTTTATTCCTCAACCAATAAGACAAACATATACACAGAAGGATTTCCCCCATCAATGCTGCTTATTGGCTTGCTCTTCATGGCTTCCTCATCCTGCTTTCTTATGGAACCAGGACCACCTACAACATGCTGGGCCCTCCTGCATTGATCACTAATTAAGAAAATGACTTATAGCTGGATCTTAGGGGAGCATGTTCTCAATTGAGGCTCTTTCCTCTCTGATGATTCTAGCTTGTATTAAGTTACATAATACTAGCCAGTAAAGTCACTCAAAAGGAAACTTTCCTTTAGGCCATTGATTATTCTCTCAGGAAAGATGCTTCTAGATGGTCCACATGCTGTGTGAAATATAAGTGTTTTCCTTTAAATAATTACAGACATTTACAGGTGAAGTAAAGCAATTTATTTATAAATACATCCAGGTATTGCAGTCCCAGAAATGTTGCATAAAATTTTAAAATTCTTCTCTCATACAGTATATTGAAGTTTCCCTTCTCTCCCCTCCTCCTTGTCCCTCCCCCACCTCCTCTTTCCCCTAGATCCACTCCTCCTCATTTCTCTTTCAAAAAGGGCCTCCCAGGATATCAACTAAACATGGCATATCAAACTTATAATAAGATTAGTCAGACCCCCCTCATGTCAAAGGTGCATGAGGCAACCCAATAGGAGGAAAAGGGACCCAAGAACAGGCAAAAGAGTAAGAGATGAGCCCTGCTCCAACAGTTAGGAATCCCACAAGTACACCAAGCTACAAAACTGTAACATACAAGCAAATGACAGCAGTCAGACCTATACAGGCCCACTGGTTGTTGGTTCAGTCTCTGTGAGCCCCTATGAGCCCAGGTTAGTTGATTCCATGGACTGTGTTCTCCTGGTGTTCTTGACTTCTCTGGCCCTTCTGACTTTCCCACCCTCTTCTGCAAGATTTCCCAAGCTCCATTGTGGGTATCTGCATCTGTTGCTGTGATAAAATACCATGACTGCAACTTACAGAAGAAAAGGTCTATTTTGGCTTACTGTTTCATATAGGTAGAATCCATACTGGTAGGGACAGCATGAAAGCAGGAGATAGAAGCTGATAGCACATCTTGAACAACTAGCATGAAGCTGAGAGAGTGAACTGAAAGTAACAGACTTTTTCATCTCAAAGCCCACCCCCCCCCTAATGATCTACTTCCTCCAGTAAGGCTGTGCTAAGGCTGCAACCTTCCCAAACAGTGCCACCAACTAGAGAGCAAGTGTTCATGCCCAAGACTCTGGTGGCAGGCTGGGTCATTTCTCATTCATATCACCACAGTGTGGAATTAGAGAAGCCCTCCACAGCATGTATAGACTTTTTAAAGCCCAGAGTATTATTAAAATATAGGACAAAAATATGATAGAAATGGGCAAAAGTTATTCAACAGTTACTTTATGAAATAAGATAGATATATACAAAAGATGGTTAATACATTAGTAGTTAGAAAATTGCAAATTGAAACTGTTAGAAGCTAACCACCCAATATCAATTAGAAGAGTGGAAATCAGAAAGACTGCCCAGTACTGAAGATTTGGAACAACTGAACTGATCCACAAACTCCAGATAGGACAAGAAAAGTGGTGAAACCACATTGGAAAACTGATAATTTCTTAAGCATTTGAACACACAATTGTCATATGATCTAGCCATTCAATCGCTTAGTTTTTGCTGAAGGGTCACCAAAGCTTTTTGTACACAGGTAAGTTCTTAATGTTATTTTTTTAAATCACATTTCTATAAGAAAGCTAAAATCATGACAAACAAATGCTCACTGGCAGATGAGGAAAGAAATATGACATACCTACACTCTGGGCTATAATTCACCAAAGAGCCAAGTAACCAACAAAACAATTACATACACCCAATAAAAAGTCAAATTATTATGCCAAGTATTTAGAATCCTGGAGTAAAATAAAAATATACCATATGATTTTCTAGGTACAACTTGGTGCCTGTAGGGGTCAAGAATTGAAAATGGACAGAGAAACATAAAGATGTCAATATGTTCATTATGGTAAAATTTTATACATACCATCCATGATAAGTTATGCAAATGTACAACTTAAATATGTACAATACATTGGATACATAGTTACTCCAATAAGACATTAAACATGGAAAAGAAGGAAGGATAAAGAAAGAAGAAAAGGAAGGATGGAAGGAAAGAAAGAGGGAGGGAAAAGAAGAAAAGAAGAAGGGGAAGAAGAGAAGGAGCAGGAGGAAGAAAGAGAGAAAGAGAGAAAGAAAGAAAGAAAGAAAGAAAGAAAGAAAGAAAGAAAGAAAGAAAGAAAGGAAGGAAGGAAGGAATGAAGGAAGGAAGAACTAAATAACTCACCCAGTTGTGTTCTCAGGTAAGACTTACACATTTATTTTTACAAGGAATATTGTTGAATGTCCCTTAGTTGGTAGACCCAGAACTAGATGCTGTAGATACAAGAGGGTATAATAATGCACACAGAGAAGAAAGAAAGAGTTGGGGAACAACAACAATCACAACCAAAATAAACATCTCAATTTTCCTAAAAATGTCTAACAGGGTGAAGGTGTGGCATGGTGGTAAAGCACTTGCCTTACATGCTTGAGTCTCTGAGGTCTATTCCCAGAACTATAAAAAGCATACATTCTATTGACAGGGAAGATAAGAAAGTCAGAGATGTCCGATAGATTGTAAAGAAAATATGAAGCTACCTACAAGGACAAGCAATTGCCAGTATAACTTTACTCCTTTAAGATGGAGTGATATAGTAGTAATTATAACTCACTTAAATGGGGCAGCCATTTAAAATAAGAACACTTCTCTTTGGAAGAAAATTTAAGCAGAAACAGAAAGAGCAGAAAGGGGGGGAGCAGGCACTACTACTCTACCAGGAAGAGGTTCACACTGATGCTCAGGCAGGCCCACTAGTCTCCAAGGAGCCAGAGTCTGGATGTGTCCATGGTCTAGGGACAAAAAGCAAGTTCTGCCATCTTCATACACAAATCCCCTTCCACACTTACATTCTTTCCTGGAAACCATTTCTTTTATCTAATTTGAAAGTATCCATGGGGAAGCTAAAGATTTTTAGGAGCCTGTATGTTTCCCCTCTTTCTCCAGTTTTCTCTGGAAGGGGCTATTGGGGGCAAACTATGTGTAAATGGCTCCTCTAAGTGGTCTTTTAAAAATGCTTCTCCAATGCCCTCATGATACACTTCACTTAAAAGAGGAATAAGAATGGCCTAGGTCCTGGGTGAGAGTAGGGTAGTGTGCATCTGTGTACAGTGTGTTAAATGACAGGGCTTTTTATCACTCTGGGTCATTTCCTAGGGTGAGTGCATGCATTGTGGAGTTTCTGTCATGAATCAAACACACTGAGGATGTCTTCTGTAACTTTAAAGCTGTTGCTGGTTTTTTGTTTTGTTTTGTTGTTTTATCTTCAAACACTTAGTATAAAAGAGTCCCTCATCTTTTAGAGACTTATGAAAATGGTCCAAAGCAAAGATGATTGCAAAAATGTGATTAGCATAACAAAACCACTCTAGGAAGCAGACTGGCTCAGTGAAATCATAATCAGTGTATTGGCCTCTAAACCTTAGTGTGTATTGCTTTTGTGCATTTCCAACAGACTAGCAATGACCATGTTCTTCTTTTGGTTAATTCTTTCTGCAGAAGCAGCAACACATAAAAGTAAATTTTTCCTTAGAATAGAGAACTGTGAATAATACAACATAGTGCAAATACAGTTTAAACACAGTAGTCCTATGATTACACACAAGAAATATCAGGATGCTTTGGTTTTTCCTCTCAATATGGCACATTCTATGCCTTAAAAATTCTATAAAACATTTGGAAAGCAAAACCTTAGCGATTCATATCAACCGATATAGGATGAGGCCAGAAGCAAAAGATTCTGTCTGCGCACAACTGCAATGCTGGGCAGTAAGGTCAAAATAGCCAGGCCAAGGATTTCCTAGCTTGCACAGGTAATCTTGTTGGTCTTTAAATTATAAACTCATCATTGTGTTGGCAAAGCCTATCTAAGCAGCATATGGAAAGAAACCAACTGTGGAAACAAGGCAACTTTGTCAAACAAACATGGAACAGGAAGGTAGATGACTGTGGTTTAGAGTGGGCCTGAAACTGCCAGGCTTTTACCAAGTCTTTGACCAAGGTAGAGCCCATTATGGTGTAGCACTTTGTTACAGATAAAGAACATGGAAGTGCTTATGGACTATAGAACACCTCAACATGTGAACTTCTCATATTAATGAGTGTATCATTCAAAACTATTAGAGAACTACCATTGAAAAGCTCAGCTTTTAAATAATGAATAAATACATTAAGAAAGATGAATAATAGCCACTGGGTTGAATTCAAGCAATGTTTGCCTTGTTCCAAATGGATTCCATTTTTAATGTTGCAAACATTTCATGCTGGTATCTATCAGTGTCTTGCTCTCCACTCTCTGCCCATCCAACATCAGGGCACATACAAAATTCATTTGAATACACAGAATACTTGATAAAAACATCATTTTATTTGAAAACTGTGCAGGAACAATCACTAAGTATAGTTCTCAACAGTACTACTCAAACCCAGACACCACAAAATCATGGTCTGCTATGATTTCTGAAGCCACTGGAACTTTGATACAACGAATAATGACCTAACAGGGTCTGTCTGGAACCACTGCCTGTTTGGGAGCACAATAAGTAATCCACACTCAAAGTCTTATGTTACATTGAAAGCATTAGACAAAACTGAGATCAGTATTGAAAGCAGACAAAACAAACATGCTCAAGTTAAAGAGATAGATAATATTACTGGAACAGAAATTGGTGAGATACTATAAAGCACTTCAGTGTTGTCAGAAAATCTACTTTTAGCACATAAAGTAGGATAATTTATTTTTCTTAAGTTCAAATACAACAAACTTTTAGACATAAAATTTTATTTGTACATGGATTTTAACCAACTTATAATATCCTACATTGAATCTAATTGGTCTCCTTGAAATACAAGATGACACATTAGTTGAAACAGAGCTCATTATTTTTTCCAACAGTAAGATACATTATACATTTTCAATCAAATGCAGTGACCTCAAGGTGACTGACAATCCATTTAGCAGCCTACTACAATTACTATGTTAGCCCTGCAATACATCTTACCATGACAAGTGGTCCAAGTTAGAAGCAAATTTGTTATTCTTAGTTTATGATAATGGTGTCTGTTTATGAAAGGGGTCAATTTCTTTTGTGTCTTTATTTGGAACCTAACTTGAACCCCGTGAGTTATTCAAAGTTTGTTAAGCTCTGTATGAGAAAAGCCACATGGTCCTGAAGTTGTCATTTCTGGCTGTTTTCCTTTCTATAACAGACTCTCCATCAAAGAGCATCTGGGAACAAGAACCACATGGAACAAAATGATAAGCATATATGACTGAGCCCCTTATTATATAGAGTTTGACATGAGGACAACAGTTGCTGGTTAAACAGGGAGCCATTCAGTGAAGGCCAGATACACTGGCTCCTGTAGGATTTACCAAGAGTATTGAATGACTAAGTTAGCCAAGAGGTACTAGCCATAATACAGATGGCCTCTGAATATTGAACAACTAAGTTAGACAAGATGTACTGGCCACAAGGCGGATAACCTCTTAGAAAGGAAATGAGGCAGAAAAGCAAATTTAAACCAAAGGTGATTCCTAAAACTTGATGTCTTTTAAAATAGTTCCACCATTTTGGTACTAATGTTTTTACCATAGTTATCTCTTATTTTTTAAATGATCTTTTCTTATATGAAACTACAAAACATTTCAGCCATAAATTGTTAGTTCAAAGAAAAGTGGCAATAAAGCATCTTTAAATGTTACTGCTTGAAAATTAAAACATAAATTATTAAAAATATCAGACTCATATAGTAAATAAAATACTTCTATGTATCCTAAATATTTGGTAGTCATACATTTTTCTTACCTTAATTCTAAGAGAATAAACTCCACTAAGTAGAGAAAATATGAGGAAACATTTCCACAAATCTAATTTAAAAGTGATAAATCTTTTCTTTCTGTACCTAAATCAACCTATGATCTTCTTCATCATCTCCTATATTGAAAGACCTGACATAGCTAATTTGTCACTCTTATTTCTTCTCAGAGTCTTTGATCAATAATGTCATTGTGGTTGAACACCACTCAAGAATTCAATGACAATATTTTTATATAAAATCTTCTCTATACTCAGCAGTGTTTATCATGTCCATGCTATGAGACAGGCAGCTCCATGCATTGAGATAATTCTCAATTACTACCCAATAATCATAGTCAGGTCTCAGATCGCTGAAGTCACCACAGAAATGAGCTGACATCACTATGGTCAAATATCAAGAAGAAAATATAATATAGTGAATGCTTAGGCAACTATAGAGGGTTTCTTCAAATCTTTAAAAATGATAAAGCTATCCTAAAATGATAAAGCTTTTCTTTCTTACTAGGCCACTTTCAATGTTGTAAAGCTTGGTTGTAGAAAACGCTTTTTTGTTTATTTGTTTTTAAATCAGGGTTTCTATCACTTTGGCTAAACTTAGCTCCCCCTTCTTCTCCCTGCCACTTTATTGTCTGAAGACCAAACCCAAGTCTCTAAACATACTACTCAGATTCCCTACCTCGGAGCTTGAATAACCCCTGACCTTTAAGGAATTACTACATATCTTAGCAAGCTAGAGACTTGGAACTTTACTTCTTTATAGGTTGGGTGTTGAAACATAACTCTAAAACCTTCCATGGATAACAACTTGTCCACTAACTTTGGGTGTGATACTCAGAAAGGAAGGCATATTTTTTTCTTTCTTGAGAGAGAGGTACAGAAGAGTGAATGGTCTCCTCCACAGGCACTCCCAGGTTGTTCACCTTGTCTAGGCACACATGGCATCACCATAGAGTTGTCTCTAGATAGGACTCTTGGATACCAATGAGAAGATGCCCCAGCCTCATATAATCTGTCAAGTCCCAGCAGGCTCACTCTGGAGCTTTAAATGTCTTTGGAATGAGGCTGTTATTACAGATATTTCATGCTGTGCTGTTATTTATGGTCAAGTTTCTTCATTCTTTCCCCATCTCTCTCCCTCCCTTCCTTTCTTCCTCCCTCCCCCTTCCTTCCTTCCTTCCTTCCTTCCTTCCTTCCTTCCTTCCTTCCTTTCTTTCTTTGGATACAAAAGACAACAAAACTTTGATTAAAATTCTTAACCAGTCATCTTATCTGCACAGCTTGGCAAATGATAGCTGTACAATAGAACAAAGCCACCTACTGGTGCAGAGAATGCCCCTTCTGGTTAAAAATTAACAAATAAAGTACTTTAGAAAACAGTGGTTTGGGTGGAGATTCTTTACAGTAAATTTGTAGTAAGTTAACATAAGTAGTAAGTTATGAATTTTGAAACTATTACAGAGAGATCCGAGTTCATGTCCCAACACAGCATTTTCTCCACTTAGTCAGGACTTGTTAGAATAGTCAGACCAAGATCAACATATGTTCTCTTCCCTATTTTGCATATTTTTCAAAAGACCATTCTTGTATTAGAGTAAGAATAGTATTATACCAATTTACTGTTAACTCTCAAGAAATGTCCAATGTGTGACAGGTTAGGGGAAGGAAGCAATAATCTCCAAATCCCAACAGTACTCTTTCATCCTTTGTTGACAATATCAGCTGGCTTTCTGTTACATTTTTGTCTCTGTGAGGCCTTTTGGAGACCCATGATTAGAGAAAATGAGTTTTGTGGTTGGAAACAAATTTGGTCACAGAGGTGTTTGAGGCACTGAGTTTGGGCAATGTAAACATCAACCAGTGTAAACACTCTAGACTTGGTCTCTGTATCATAAAGAAGTATCATGTACATTACATACCTCTCAAAAATACAATATGGTTCATTAAAAGCATTTAAAAAGTAAGAGGAAACAGCCGAACATACATTTTGTAGTGAGATAAAAATTTGGAGTTCTTTAAGCAGAATATCCATGGCACCAGGTGGATACAAAGTTATGTAATGAAATATATAACTATGATCTGGAAATCATAGGAGAATGTTAGAATGACCATTTCTAACAATGGTCAAAAACATTTCAAGTTCTGACAGCAAAGTCTATAGGTGCGAATATTTCTACACCAAGTGTTTATAAATAAAATATTTTCATTTTTGGCAGCTTGAAATGTCAACCCTCTTGAATTTATTACCCAATACGTGTTACTCTTGCAGGCACATTTCCATATTTAAAGTCAGCATGGCCTTCTGCTTCCTGCTACGGTTATCAATGATGCTCTTAAAGCAGGTTCTGAAAAAATTCATTCTGACAATGAAAGAATCCTGGCATAAGCAAATCAATCGTGTAATTGAAGCACAATGAGAAATGGTAAAATGGAAAGGTAAAATTTCTTCACTGTAATATGACTCATCCATTCCCTGTTATGGAAATACTGGCATAATTTGAATCAAAATCAGGAACAGATTGACATTACGGCAGTCACCAGATTTTGCCATAGTTGTGGTCACTTCTTCCCATTTTCTGTCCAGAAGACATGTTGCAAACATTTACTGAGTTCTCCCTTCAAGGCACAGACATTGAGATCAAGAAGAACATCCAAGACAGGGGGAATTGAAGGGAATGCTAACCTAGAATCAGTCATAGAAGTTGGAGGTGTTGGGCTTTTAGCATTGAGAATTGTACTAAGGGTGAATTCCATACAAGCTTCCACATTGTGCTGATTAGTGGCACAGTTCTGGATCTAACTTATCTTAAAAACATTTTATGTAAACATGTCTTTGGATCTGTTTGTATTTCTGAAACTGAGTGGACATCAGATGGAGATTACCAGGAAAAGGTTTAAAATGGCACTGGGAGTTTACTTTGTAATATTTGTAACTTTCAAAGGAGGCAAGGTTTGCAAACGTTTGAGACTGAAAATGTTTTAAAGGATGAGAAAACATCCTGTCACCAATTATAAGCTTAAGGAAAACTAGAAGCAATTTGTCTTTGTTGGTAAAGTTGACCAACAAGTATAAATACCACTTTGATAGGATTGGTTTACATGTACACCAAATTAAGATTAGTAAAAACTAATACAAAATGGTTTTCACAATTATAAGAATAAGTCGATGGGAAATGATTCTGTGGTTAATTCCAAAAAGAAAAGACAGTTTCAAGGAAAAAAATAAAACTACTGATTATAGTTTTGGTTAGATGAACCACAGATTAACCCTTGTTGTTTTCTCAAGAACATCTCAAATATAGCTATTTTTCCTCTTGGCAAAATAAAACATTATAATAAAGAATGAGGTATCACCAATTTTTGGTGATTGATGGCATGAAAATTCAGGGTGACCATAGTTATTGGATCATAATTAGTTTGAAGAAATGATTCATGAACATACTTTCATTGCTGTAACTGCTTCAGTGCAGGGGTGAGTGTTGTTTTAGAGGGAAAATACAACTTAGAATTTCTAGTGCTTTTCTAAAATTAAGTAAAATCTACAATTAATAATCACTCTTTTGTTTCTCCCACCAACAAATTTTATATTTAGAAACTTTAAGACTGAATCTTAAGTTTTCTTAACTACATTTGTAAGATATATTCAATAAAAAATGGTTTATTTTTTCTTGTGACTCTTTGAAAGAATTTAATAAAAAATAAAATGTGAATTTGGGCACCATTAGAAGAAATGCTAAAAATTTGAATCATTTAAATTGAAGCCTCTGAAGGCATCGTTGATCCCAACTGGTAATGCCAACTTCTAATCAGCTTTATTGAAATTTGGCTAAGTCACTTTCTCAGAATTATCTCAAAGATCCATTTAATGTTACCTTTTCAAATGTCATATTCCCATGTTGCATTTTCCTCCAGGGAATGTCCCTCTTATACTTTTCATCCATGATCCTGTTCATGCCTCTCCACCATTTATGAGAAATATAAAAAAAGCATTATTACACAGTTTCCTACAGGAAGTCTGATGTTCATTGCTGACAGCCTTATCAGTGCAGCTTATTGGGTAAACACAGCTATCCTTAATAAGCCACAAAGAATTCTTTATGTGTTCATTTTTAGGAGTATGACTTCTCCAATGCAAATATAGACGTATGGATCATACTCCACATAAATAGATGCAAACAGAATTTATCTTTTCATATTCTCTTTTTAGTTAGCCTATTCTTTTCCCCAGGCTTATGTTAATATGTGCTTTCATTTAAAACTCATGATACTTCTCATACACGCAATTTCTTTATAAAAATACAACCAAGCATCTACAATAGTTCTACCAACTTAGGAAAACTTTGATTTTTGTTTGGAAGGGACTCAGGGTTAACAGTACAATTCTTTTAACACTATTGACTATTGTGTTTTATTAAAATAGTTTGGGATGGGAAGAGAAAGACATGCCATTGCTCATGAACTACTCAACAAAAACTTGGTGGTTTGCATTATTTCAGGACATAGTATTTGGGTGTGCTCTTCATCACTGGTTCTTAGGAGTGTCTCTAGCAGGCACATTTCTTTTCTGCTGGCTTTTCCCCATCCAGCTTTCCCGAATTTCCACCATTGACAGTGTCCGGAACCTGTGTCTTCTCTACACATTGTTCCATTCTCCTCATTATTAAGTCCAGAAGGGTTTCCACAGACTTCTCTACATTTTGTCCCGATGCTGCGCTTGTTTCAAAGTATGGTATGCTAACATAGAAAGACAAAAAAAAAAAAAAAACAGATTTTTTTCAAACTGACCTGTAAAATTGTATCTATGAATCATATATAAAGTACTTTTGAAGTGCATATGCATCATAGAAAGGTTAACTCTCACTAATAAACATATTCATGAAATCATCAGGTCTTATTACTATCCAAACTCATTAATTCTTCAAGAATATAATATTACCATCAATAAAAACAGTCAACAGATTGTGGCATTGTGAACTTACTTTATTCTAATGCAGATAGTAATATTCTCATACAAAATCACTTTAAATCACATTTGGGGTTTATTTTTAAAAAGGTTTTGTTTTTACTTATGTATGTATACACATGCATGTGTGTGTGTGTGTGTATGTGTGTGTATACACTCTCTCTCTCTCTCTCACACACACACATACACACACACACACACATGCATGTGTATACATACATAAGTAAAAACAAAACCTTTTTGCCCAAGAAAGCCAGAAGTAGGTGTCAAGTCCCCTGGAGCTGGAGTTACAAGCCACCAGACATGAATGCTGGGAACCAAACTGGTTCTCTGAAATAATGCCAAGTGCTCTTAATGACTAAGCCATGTTTCCAGTGCCAGAGCTGAGGTTCATTAGGAACCAGGGAGTTTGCTATGAGATTTTGTCTCCTAGAAATGAAATGATAGTTACACACCCATGACACTACAACAATATGGCTGCCTAAATAGAAGCTGGGCAATGACAACATCATTTGAAATGCCAGTGTGGACAGGAAAATTGCATGGGGCCCAACCCTCCATGAAGAACTATAGTCAACTAAGGACTGTCAAGAGAGGAAGAATTAGTCTTTCTCAGAGATGAACACACTAAATAATTATCCAATGCCAACAGGTCAGCCCCACTGTGCTCAATATATACATGAGCAACACTAAACGAACTCAGCAGGTGGCATTTATATATAGGGAAATTATGTAATTACATTGTAATTTTTAAAGTTCTGTTCTTTAAGAACAAAGATTTTGGCATAAATTTAAGTTGAGTACAAGGCTTAACAGAAAGAGAGGTACCTAGCGGAAAAAAGAACATCCGACTGTTTGGGGTGGGGGGAGCTTCTCAAGAGGAAGCAGTTTCACACAAAATCCTTTTTTTTCTTTTAAATGAAGAGATCAGAAGAGATACAAGACATACAAGTGATGCCATGTAATTCATGGCTGGCAAAGAAATCTTAGTGTCAGTTTTTGCTGGCAAGATGGAAACTTTCTTGGTTTATTTGCTTGTTTGCTTGCTGGTTTTGTTTTCACTAAATGAAAATTGGTGAGCTGTTATTTCATGCTGTCATGACCCCTGTGTGTGGGAAACCATTAGAGGGAGGAGTCAGGAAGCCAAAGTCAAGGCATCATCACTGCTTTAACACAACAAAGTAAACAAAACTGGGAAGAGAAATGTCTAAACTGACAGTCAGCAGCACCACTAACATGCCACTTCCCTCTGACCAATCACCCAGAAATTTGGCTTCAAAATTTCGAATGCCTTGAATATAATACTCACAGGAATGTAAGTTGCATTTATCTGGAATGAACAGGGTCAAGAAGATCTAAACTTTAAAGATCTGTATGAGCTCTTCCTGGCAGATGGTAAAACTGCTTCAAGTTTAAAAGTCACCAACACATTCTGCCTTGGAAGTCAATCTGCAATTACATGGGCTGGTTTTGTTTGTTTCCAGCTGCCAGTCAAGTCTACCCGGAAGATGGCTCCATTAGCCAGGCCACATCAGATACTGTTCTTTGCTCACCTAAGTAACTGTCAAGTGAGAGGCAGCAAAGCCTTGATCTAGATTCCTTGGACTAAATTTAAACTCTGTTCCTTAATAGCTATTTTGCCTTCTACCAAGTATTTAAACATTCTGTGACTCGGTCCTTCTTATACAAAACGTGGCAACTCCAGTGTCTCCTACGTATGACTATGGGGAGCTCAATGACCTGAAGTCTATCAACAATTGCCAATGCATGATAAAAACTCAATAAATGTTAGATGCTATTATTAATATGACTTCTGGAAGGGAGGTATGTGCGTGCGTGTGTGTGTGTGTGTGTGTGTGTGTGTGTGTGTGTGTGTGTGTGTTAAATGTATGTATTCGTAAGTTTGTTCGATTGTGAATATCAGTCACTGAATCTGAAGCTCATCAATTTATCTAGACAGGGTAGCTAATGAACCTCATCCCATCTCCCAGCACTGGGGTTCCAGATACATTCTGGGTGCTAGGGATCCAAACTGAGGTCCACACTCTACCCAGTGAGCCATCTTCCCAACCTGGAAAGTCTTTTTAATTCACCACTGTTTCTGATCCACAGGGATTCCTTCAACTCTCTGTCTCATATCTCTGTTTTGTCTGTGTACAAAGTCAGATGGTTCTTAGTGAACGTGACTTACCCATATTTTTCAGCCAGCTCCCGGGCTTGCCGTTCATTGACTTCCCTTTGGTCTGCCAGGTCTGCCTTGTTGCCGATTAATACTATATCTGGGTTTTCACAGTAAGCGTTTGCTTGCAGTTGGCCTTGGTAAGAAAGCAGATGGAAGCAGTGAGTTAGTCACAAACAAGCAATGTCAAAGGACTGCTCAGACTCCAGATTCCTAACCCAGCTGTGCATCTGCAGTCTGGTCATCTCTCCTCGTAGTTTCTTTATCTATAAAATGGAGCTGATGCCTCACAAATTGCAGATAGTAACACTGCCAGATAGGCACACAGGAAATACCTGAACCAATATCTAAACATGCTCACCTATACTGGGGAGCTTGCCCTGTGACCTATGTGGGGTCCTGCCATTTGTTCCTCAGATATGAATATCAGCCTTGATCTAAGCCATCCACTTGGATATAGAACATGATTTTCATTTGCATCATTAAATGGAGGCTTTGTTCTCCTCTCCTGACATCAAAGTGATAATCTATGCAATGGACAGGTTTTTAAAAAACTGGAAATTCATGCAAAAACAAGCTTAAGATAAAAATCTTGTTTTTTCTCTTTCTTTAGGTAAACTGTGTGTGTGTGTGTGTGTGTGTGTGTGTGTGTGTGTGTGTGTGTGTGTGTAGGAGAGAGAGAGAGTCAGAGAGAGAATAAACTAAGTGACAAAGGAAGGAATACAAGGATGAAGTAGGAAGGAGAGAGGAAAGGAGGAAGTGAGGGAAGAAAATGAAAGGAAAGAAGAGATCACTCCACCTGTGTCTTCCACTTCATTAAGGCCTGCTATGTGTCATGTAGCCAAGACTAGAAGAAGCATTGGTATTATCCTGTAATTTCAATGATTTTCATGTTAGAAACCCAGAGGTT